CTAAATTAAGGTGAGAGGTATCTAAATTAAGGTGAGAGGAAATACATTATCTACAATAAAATCAAAATAATGACTATTAATCAACTATATGCCTACAGTACATGTTTTATAATTAGAAAAATCATCAACAAAACAAATCATCAATAACATGTCGTTTGTAAAGTTACAGATTAATAAGCGCAGCACTCAGCGAGCAAGTCTAATTGTTGTGCCGAAAGTGAGTGGAAAGAGATATATGTATAACAAACGAAGGAGTACAGCTTCATAAGTTGTTACTGTCATCTTTATAAATGTAAGTTCAGTTAATCAATTTAAATCTAAGCTACATGAATACATTTTAGATTTTGTAAAAAAGTAAAGTAAATTTAAGTCAAATTAATGGCGACTATATTATGTACATTGTACGATATTGTTTTCAAGTAAGTGACTATTCCTTTGTCTTTTTGAGAAGTAATTCTTTTAACCCTGTTATAAGCACCTTACTACAAAATACGTAGTACAAAATGATATAAAATGTGATTGACTATTAGTCACGTTTTGTTTTGAATATTTACAATGTGTATAACGCAATTTCTAATATTATATTGCCAGTTACTAGTCATCATAATTGGCTTTATTAACGAATCCTTGGCTAATGCTGGATTGGTGAAGTTTCCAGAGATACTATTAACTACGAGTATATGTAAGTTCAAATATCGTGATGTACTGTGCACTAAACGAATTTCGATTCAATAATTGTGAAACAGATAAGTAGTTTCCGCTTCCGGCGATAGATGACTCTGTATTTAAAATACATCTGAAATTGATTTTATTGCTCTAATTTGGTAAAAATAAGAGCGGAAACGTGTTTTTCTTTGATAATGACATGCTACAGTTGCCGTAAAATAGAATAAATAAAGGTTAATGTTTTCTTTCTGAAATAGCTTTATTTATAGCATAATTATTGGACCAAGTCATGGAGGAATTCATTGTAAAAGTCGCTGTTTAGGCAACTCCTCGCTGAGGACACACTAGTCGCAGTCGGGGTATGTTGAAGCTGGACTTTGTTATCAATAACCCGCACAAATTGGTGAGTCAACTTGAATTAAGTTTTAACGGCTTTAAACTCAATTTAGGGAGTAGAAATACCGATTTATGAAATATTGAACCAAAATCGCACTATCGACTTATTTAAACGACTTTAGCACACCGCCTAAAAGTGTGTTTAAAATCAAAGAGATCTTGTTGACATAATATATAATTTTACTTTTAAATGGCATTCCATTTGGATTATTATAAGCTGAATAAAAACGATTGCGGAATAAAATGCTATCCCTTAGTTCTACAAGTAACTTAAGTATTTTCATACAGAAATAGCTACTTGTTTGATTGTAAATAACATTAGAGAATAAACGGCAATGACAAGTTCATTTGCTGACCTGTGAAAAGAAGGGACAAAGAGTTTGTCTCTTTATGTTTATTTATGTTACGCTTATATTGAAAAAGACTT